ACTTCATTAAACGAATAATTTCAGCTGATAAACAGGTTTTCAATAAAAATTCCCCCTGAAGATGCTTCATCAATAATGGTTCGACCGCACTCTTTCAGCAATATCTATTTAGTTCAGAGCAGTAGTCTATACGAAACAAATAACATATTACGTCAAAACCTTCCAAATAAATTTTTTTCATAATCACCGCAAATGACAATCAGTATAAATGAATATTGTTATACTACCATCAGCATGTATTTCTTGTTTCTCTGTACAATCAATCAGAAATAACACCAATATGAGCAATATAATATTCTTTCTAAACTATTATCATCAACTACTTTATGCAGAGCATCTCGCTTTCTATCTATTCCACACATATATCGAATGACAAACGCCTGCTGTTGCTGCTGCAAATAATGATATGCTTTCAAACAAAATTCCGTTCTGCCACTCACCGCGTCCATCATCGATTGATCCTGGATACGCCAAATAAGATTCTGTCTCATTGACTGTTGTCAAATCCATGATTCCGTGAATATTCGGTGGAGTGTCTCGAATTGTGTGAACAACCTAAGAAAACTAGCATTCAGCACCTGTCTTTTCAGGGATCGAAATTCAAGAATCGATCTGATAAATTTGCAAATGATGCGAATTACATGCAGCACTGGTGATGCAGAAATAGTTTTCATTCGAAAAATCAGTGAAAAGAGATCAACTTTAAAAAAATAACAGAAAACCTTGCGATTACCTTCATATCACGAATGTGATGAACGAATATTTTCTCCTCTAAGCAAACGATCAAATGCTGAAAAAAGGCACAGTCATTCACTTCACTCCACATTTACAACAGTCACATTACTATTACAACTCTGTGTCAGTACTTCCAAAAACTCAAGCCCATCTGATGCATTCTTCTAAATCACCAGCAATTTCTAACCAACACGAATTCATCGTTCGATAATTATTCTAGCATTTTGACATTTCACTTCCTAACTATAGGCATTTTCCTACGCTTCATTGAAACATTCATTCAGTAGGCAAAAATTTCCAATTGTATTCAAAAAATTCAAAAGTTGCGAAATTATTTCAATGGAATATGAACTAATTCATTGTTACGCAAACGACTTATTACTTCTAATCGTTCCGCAATCCGACAATCGCCCATGAAATTGACCATTTCAAACAAGCGATTTGATAGGAAAGTTGGAAAACTATTGAGAGTTCTATAGAATAAAAAACAATGACGAGACAAAACCGACTTTCCGATTCAGTTTCACGGCAAGAATGGTGTTCTGATAGCTTTGTGTACATA